AGTGGTCACCAGCTCCAGACTAGTTTGGTCAGAAAAATCGATCTAGATATATGCAAATCCAGATGCAAGTTCGAAAATAAAATTAAACTTGGCTACTACTATTGTATAAATAAAAAATAAGTATTATTAGTATTCTTAGTGGGAAGTAGCAATTTCAGCTAAGAGTACTTGACAATACATCTCAACGATCTTGTCTATATATTCGCTCTTTTATGTATTATTGATATTATTAAGTAGATCGAGATCTTTTAACAATTTTTTCGTCTGTTTATAAAGATTTTGCCATTGTACATGAAATTTATTTCATAAAACCGAAGACTTAATAAGAAAGGGAAGAATACTTGTAAGATTATTTATATGGGATTTGATTATTGCATAAACATTTGCAATTTCTTCTTCTGCTGTAATCTAATTATAATACGGAGTATAAAGAACTGTATGAATATGGGTTATTTCTTGTTTACTACAATCTAACCGATATTTGATAAAATCAAGATCTTCACAACGTTCTCTTTCTTTTTGCTTTAAAATAACTTGAAATGCTTCAAAATTCCATTGACGATTCATGGTAAGACAGGAATATAGTATATCTTTAATTTTGAGATTACTAAAAATTAATTCAAGCAGTTCGGAATAAACAAGTGGGCCAGGCCTGGAATTTTTTTGCGCAAGCATGATAGTATACAAAAGAAACTGGTATAAAATTACATAGAAACTTGTAAATCTTCAAAATAAAAAAAAACATATTCGCAAAAATTTCTAGCAAACTATTAGGTTAGTAGTAGTACCCAAAAGTAATCAGATAGAGGAATACCCTAAAGTAGCAACCATGCTATAAAAGGTTTAGGAATATAAGAACGAAAAATAGAGTATACTTTTGGTAGGACCCCAAGTTAGAATTATATATAGGAAAAGAAATAAGAAATTACAACTTGGGGTCCTACCGGCAATAGGCAGGAACAAGGTCGGAAAGGCAGAAAGGCTTGAGAGAATATAAGAAAAAATGATCCCAAAGTATCCTGAAGTAGCAACAAGAGTTTAACTTAGTGAGGTCGCAAGTAATACTCCAAGGTAAAATTATAGGACACATGAGGAGGCACCCAGATATGAGTACACTTTTGGTAGAACCCCAAGTTAGAATTATATATAGGAAAAGAAATAAGAAATTACAACTTGGGGTCCTACCGGCAATAGGCAGGAACAAGGTCGGGAAGCTGAAAATGAGTGAATTTATGGTGACCCACTCAAGCAGAATTATATATAGGAAAGAAAAAAAAATTATGCTCGAGTGGGTTACTAATTCGGCACTTTGTGCCTCATTCTCGGCAATCAAAAGGGTCATAAAAGGTGGGATTGCAAAAATGGCACAACATCGGCACTTCATGCCTTATCGGCAATCAAAAAGTGAGTAAATGGATTGCAGAATATCTTAGGCAAATAGGTGGGCAAATTCGGTAAAAAAAATTGCGTTCCAAATTGGAACAGGCACGTGACTTTTTTTTTTCTTTGTATTAAGACCCACATTTTCAATAATAAAGTAGGCTCCAAACCAGGACCCAAAGCAAAGCAAATAAGAAAACCAAGACGGCACCCAAGGCGGATCAAATAAGAAAACAAAACCGGTATCCAAGATGGATCAAATAAGAAAACCAAGATAGCATTCAAACTGGCACCCAAGGCGGATCAAAAAAGAAAACCAAGACGGCCTCCAAACCAGCACCCAAGGCAGAGCAAATAAAATAACCAAGGTGATCTCCAAACAGGCACCCAAAGTGAAGCAAACAAGATAGCCAAAATAACTTCCAAAAGGCTACAAAGTGCTAAAAACAGAAACTAGGTAACAATCTACTCATACCTAGGTAACAGTTTACTCATAACTAGGTAACACTATACCCATACCCAGGTAACAGTTTACTCATAACTAGGTAACACTATACTCATAACTAGGTAACAATTTAATGTAACTAGGTTGCAATATATATATATTGCAACCTAGTTAAAAGTTTAGAAATTTTAGAAATTTTAAATAATTACTAAATTTTGATTGGTTTAAATTAGTAATGCTAGTGCTAGAATAGTTAATTTTAGTATTGACCTTTGACTTATTATAATTTATTAGTCAACTATATATTACAACTTTATGACTTGTTATAACTTATAAAATTTATTATTATATTATAATCATCTTAATTATATAAACTTGAATATAATCTAAAATAGCTAAAACTGGTTAATTTAGTCAACTTAAATTATTTGTAAGTTTTGAAAAAGTAGACAATCAACAAACTTCAGGTAAGATATAAATAAGAACTGAGAATAAAGCAAGTTATGACATAATAGCCATAATATAATATATTACTTGCTATAGTTATAGCAAGTTACAACAAATAACAATTATTATTAGAACAATTCTACTGCATTTCTAGTACTAATTCTAAATTGATTATTAAAAAAAGTAAAAATTTTTTTAAAAAATTTAAGTTATACAAATACTAAAAAAACAATATATAATATATATTTTTTTAAAAAAACCTTTTTATATAAGGGCATTTATTTTTGGTATATCCTGTACTTAGTGTACCTTTCTATAATATATCAAAATTTTACTAAAGTAACCCTGTTGTATAACTAATAAAAAATACTTTTCATAAAGTTTTTACTCTAATTCAACCTTAATTTTAATCCTAACCTAACTCTAACTCTAATCTAATTCTTATTTATATTGATTTTGCTATAGTTTGCTATAGGTGCACTGGTATGTACCCTGCACAAAATATAAATTCTCTTTATATAAATAATGGTTTTTAAAAATATTTATTATATAAATGGTATATTAAACTTTTCAACATTTTTTTTGTATATCAAATTGTTTACATTAATTTTTTTTAACCAATAAAATTATAGCATTCCTTTTTGTATATTAGTTTATGTAACCTTATATATATCATTTTAATTTTTTAGAAAAGACATCTCAGCAACTATTTAAACAAATTTGCTAAATTTTTTTTATTTTAATTCATCAAATTTGCTTAGATAGTTGTCAAGATATCTTTGCTTAAAGTTTTTAAAAAATTTAATTTTTAAAAATTAAAATGATGTACAAACTGATATACAAAAAAAATGCTGTTAACTTTTTTTTTTTAAAACAGAAATGACAAATCACTATATGTAAAATAGATTTTTTTTTTTTAAAAAAAAAAACAACTTATTATATAAATATCTTTTTAAAAAAAATTTGTTGTATAATCATTGTTAAAAACCTGCACAACCAGGTCAAAATTAAAAAGTTTTAAAAATATATTAAAAAATAATGAAGCGTGCCAAACTTAGGGATTGGAACCACCTAAAATTTTTCTTAATCGTTTAACCGCTTAACTTGGCCAGCATTAAAATAATTCCAGCTCACGACCAATATAATTCCGCCTGAAACTATGAAGCAATTTTTAAACAGTTAAATGGTTCCAATTAGGGATGGGATAACTTACCTGACGACGTAAGTTACATGATTCTAATGTAAGTTACAAATATATAGATTTAATGCTAGCCAGAATTATGATAAACTTGGCCAGCATTAAGACAAAATTTTTAATGTAAAGGTACGGTTTTTTCCGAGATAGACAAACAATATCAAGCTACTGTATTTTTTTCTAATTATTCTAGGGTAAGATAATTAATAAAAAATTTTTACTTTTAAACTTACGTCATTTAAAATACTTACGTAAATTACCCCATCTCTTGTTCCAATCCCTAGCTAAACTTAAAAATTATCTAAAAAAATTATTGCACAATCATTTGTTTTGAATTTTCCCGATCGTGGGCGTACGTACGTACGTACGTACGTATCAGAAAAGTAGGCGCAGGAGCATCAAAAATGTAAAACCCCACCAGGAGTCTTGGGTTACACGACACTTTGCAGTAACATGATGTGGCGCATGAGAAATGACCAATCGGGATGCGTAATTTTTGATTGTTCCAACGTCAAGTGCAAGAAGAAAAAAAGGAGAAAAAAGTGAAAATACTCAAAAACTACTGTTAAATTGGCCTTTGGGCACTAACAAACATGTCGGGAGCGTAATTTTACATATGGGGATGATCTTTCAAGGCCGATAACCACAAACCTTAACCAGAAACATAAATAAAGCCAAAAGGCTTATCCGAATGTGCCACAATGCGCCACATTACGTTACTGAAAAAGTGTTCTAGACGCCTGGCGGAGTTAAAAAGAATACTTCCGCATTAGACGATCTCCTAAATTGACAACAATAATGATAAAGTTTATACCGATATGAAAACATTTGATTTCCGAAAATATTTAACGTTAACGTTAAAGCTCAAAATTTAGTTCATTAAAGCTAGATTAGGAAATATTTGTGCGTTATTTACCTGTGGCTAACTCCGAAAGCTGCACAAAAAAAAAGAAAAAGCTAGTTTTTTTTTCAGTATGCATGTATTTACAAGTAAAAAAAAACTAGAAACTAATTAGATTACGTACAAGTTTGAAAGTATCGGCTTTAGTACAGAAATTTGTTTTGTAGTACATAGTTATTTATTATATAGCTTACATAAAGCACGTATGCACATACGATATAGAAAATCTAAGAATCACAATTTCTTTAATCAGGTAGTACAATTTTTATCCTAAATAATGACAAGAAAATTAGATACGTATAAAAGAAAAACATTTTTAACATTGAGGAAAAAAAACAAGATTTTTTGAAGTTAAAACAAACAAATTTGTTTACATTGTAAAAAGCCAAACAAAAGATTATAATATGAACACGTATTTCGAACAAAATTTAAATTCAGAATTAATGGACATTACTGAAGAATCGGGACCAGAAACAGAACCAGAATCATCAGGATCAGAATCAGAATCAAAAGGATCAAAAAGGTATAAGGAGGGTAAAGATTTTGAACGTTACATTAAAAAAATATTAGCCGAAAGTGGAATACAGGTTAATGGTATTGAATGTCGACAAGGAGATAACGGAATTGATATTATGGCTACATTTAATAAGCAATTAGTTATTATTCAATGTAAGAATGTTGGTAAACCTATAGGCATAAACATTATAAAGAATTTTCAAGCTTCGGTTACTCGGTTTGCGGAAGGAACATTATGTATTATTGTTTATAATAGTAAGAAACTAAGTAATCACCGTTATTATTTAACTAAAAATGCAAAAAGTTGGTGGGAAAATCTATGTCCTAAAATTAAGATTGTTACTGAGAAAACGATTGTAAATTGTATTAAGAAAAATTTATTGCAAGGAAGGATGCCGCATGATGAATTATATGGGAATCATCAAGGTGTGTCATATAATGACATGTCAAACGTGATAACAAATGATGGAAAGATGCCGCATGAATTATATGGGGATCATCGGCTTGGCCAAGGTGCAAAATCGATTGAAACAAATGATGATGGAAGGATGCCTAGTGATACGGGCCGGCCCGGAAATTATCGGCCGGGAATCTTCGGAATGTAGACAATAAGACAACATCGAATATGA